TGCTCAAACGTAGAGAAGAAAAACAATATTTCCAAGACTCCAAGCCTCTAAGTGGCAGTGTTACTTCTTTTCATCTATTTTCACTTCCCTCTTTATATTCTTTATATTTCAGGAAGGAGAAAAAAATTTTAAACAAGAAAATATTATAGGGCGTTGAAAAGAGAAAAAAGAATGAAAACCTTTTAAAAAATAAAAATAAAAAGTCCATTTAAAAAAAATAAGCGTTTGTAGAAATTCTAGCAGTAAAAGGATTAAAGAAAAATAACACATTAAGTTTGACTCAGGCTTAATCTCGCTGCTTGACCTTTTCTGTCTTCAATTTTAACTTTACTTTTAATTTTTGGGGTATTCTCTCATCTAATAGTAAAAAATTATCTCACCAATTCGGCACACTTTCTCTCCTGCTAATCTTCCATTTCTGGAGCTGTCTCAACTTTCAGCAGCTTCAATGGCTGCTTCTTTGTCACTGGAAAAAAGGGCTTCTCCTGGATCTACAGGGACATTGCAGTGTTCCCGGAATCAGCAGGATGTGACCTTCTCTATCATAGTCTCTACGGTTTAGGTCCAAAAGGACCATCCAGTGACAGAGATATCGATGGCGATCTTGGAGCTTCAAAACCGCACATTGTACTGTCGCTACATTAGCTCCACCTCCCCTAGACTTCCAATGCTCCCCAAGTTTCAGCAATTATCTTAGGATAATTTTTGGAATATTTTCACAAGAAAGTGGTAGGAAATTGTGGAGTTCTGCAGGGATTGCACAAGGTCAATACCTTTTGTCTAATAAACAATTTATTTGTGGGGACTACAAAATTTGCTCCATCTTAATAAGATAAAAATATGGCTTGGCTTGGGGAGTCAGATTCATGTGCCTGAGTTACTGACTATCTAGATCTCCAAAACAGATATTTTATGGAAGCTTAGTTATCTAGGTATGCCAACAAAAAAGATAGGTAGGAAATCTTTTCCATACTACTTACTAACATAATGTACTAATATATCTTTTGTATTCATTTTTTTTCAAAATAGATTGAATGTATAATGCAACTGAAATAATAAAGATTGGACTTCCTGGGAGGAGCCTACTGGTGGAAGCAGCAAAAAATCAGCTGCCTCCGAATTCCTGGCTACGTA